ATTGCTGTGAGTTCAAGGCCAGCCCCCCACCACACACACACACACACACACACACACACACACACACACACAAGAAATGGAATGGAATAATTTCCCCCCTAAACTTTGCTTGTATCCACCTTATTTTTAGTTTCTTCTTGGTAAGTCCTTAAAGATGATTTCCATCTTATATAAGTGATTTCAAAATATAAAGAAAAAGGGCTCAATAAGAGAGCATTCATGAGACCTAGGTTTGCTCCCAACACCAGAAAAATAATGTTCTTTAAAATAAAGAGGATAAAGAGCTATTAATCTCACCATATGGAGGAGGCATCTTTCTGACCTACCACAGAGAAACAAAAAACTTCTAGGCGATTGCGTGCGCCAGCAGTTTTCTTCATGCTATCGCCACATATGTTCAGTCTGTGGACATACCATCAGGTTTATATGGCCATTCATCCACTGGTGGACACTGATGTAGTTTGGGGACACTGAATGAAGTTGTCATGAACACTTAACAAGTTTTTGTGTGGATGTGTTTTGCTTTTCTCAAGGTGTAAGATTCCAAACCACTGAACACTTTTCAGTAGAACAAAAGATGAGTGAGCAGATTGTGAAGGGACAGAGTGACCATAGGTAGGCAAACAGAGGAAGAAAGCACAGGTGCTGGGCATTTGTGGTGGCACATTTTCCTTTTCTAAGTGCTGTTTCCTTCAGAATGAAGTTGACTCCTGGGCCTCTTCTAATCTCTCACATTGCACCCATCCTTCCCCTTGCAAGGCTGTCACCTGTCACCTTTGCCTAGACTCTGCTAATGGCTGCCTAGGTGTGTCTGGGGGTTTGGTGCTAGGACTCTTACACATTCTCTCTGTCTGTCTCTCTCTCCACATACATTATTGTATGTAATCATTCTAGAATCTCTATGGGGTGGGAGGCATCGTTATTATGATTATTTTTATTGAACCGAGCACGTGCTATGCATGCTTTCTACCACCTGAAGAAGCATTGCTATTCTGTCAAGTACTGAGGAAAATAAGGCTCAGAGTTGTTAGGAGACTTGAGTGAGATTACATAACTAGTAAGTGATGAGGTAGTCATTGAAGTTACATAACTAGTAAGTGATGACATAGTAATTGAGATTATATAACTAGTAAGTATAAGGTAGTCATTGAGGTTACATAACTAGTAAGTGATGAGGTAGTGATTGAGGTTACATAACTAGTAAGTGATGAGGTAGTGATTGAGGTTACATAACTAGTAAGTGATGAGGTAGCGATTGAGATTACATAACTAGTGAGTGATGAGGTGTTGCGTGCGGCGGGTGTGGGTTTCACGCTGCTGGGCGGGTCCCTGGCTCTCCGCAGCTGCCGGGTGCTGGGAGCTACAGATCGGGCGGGTCTGCGACGGTTCTGGCGAGTGCAGACTCTGCGCCAAGGCAGGCTGCCGGGCGGGTTCTGCACCAAGCTGCAGGGGGTTCTGGCTAGCTGCGGGACGCTCTCCCTGTGCCCGCGGTTGTTGGCCACTGGTCCGCGGGGGGCTGGGGGAGCAAAGCGGGGAGCGCAGGAATGGCAAACGCAGAATCTTCACGAGTGAATGTTGACGGGGGGACAGCTCCTCCTGGGAGACTGAGTCACAGGCTGGTCGCAGGCGCAGTGAGACACAAATCAGCCAAGTTCAATGATCTCAGTGATACAGCTCCGTTAGACTCAGTGATTCAGCTCCATTAGACTCAGTGATTCAGCTCCATTAGACTCAGTGATTCAGCTTCGTTTTATTAGGGTAAAACTAGAAGATTTATAGTGTGGAGGCAGTAGCAAAAGCCTCAGCTGATAGGTGCTCCTAGGATGCTTTATTTACATGAGGCGGTGGGCTTCTATCAGTCAGGCTGTCAGACAATGCCTGATTATAAAAAACCTGGTAGTTTCTATGCCAGAGGTCATGTATCTGTGGCGGCCACTTCAAAGGTGAGTCAGGAAGAGAGTAGGAGGCGCCCCGCTGGAAAGGGGAGTCTCTCCATTATGCGCCGAGCTGGCTCGCGGCTATCCAGACATGGAGAGACTGCGACCCAAACAGCAGGGGTCCCCAACAATGAGGTAGTCATTGAGATTACATAACTAGTAAGTGATGAGGTGGTCATTGAGGTTACATAACTAGTAAGTGATGAGGTAGTCATTGAGATTACATAACTAGCAATTGATGAGGTGGCCATTGAGGTTACATAACTAGTAAGTGATGAGGTGGTCATTGAGATTACATAACTAGTGAGTGATGAGGTAGTCATTGAGATTACATAACTAGTAAGTGATGAGGTGGTCATTGAGGTTACATAACTAGTAAGTGATGAGGTAGTCATTCAGGCTTAAGGGCTGGCACTTTGACCCTAATAGCATGTGCTTTTCTTCACTGCAAGAGTAAATTATATGTCTAATTTAGGTTGCCTCTTTAAATTGTTCTAATTCATCTAGTTAATTCTTATATTTCTTTTATAAAATTTATTTTTATATGTACAAGTGTTTTGCCTGTGTGTATGTAAGAGTGCAGTGCCCGTGAGGAGGTCAGAAGAGGATATTGAATCCTCTAGAATTGGAGTTATGGATGCTTGTTGGCTTCCATATGGGTGCTGAAAACTAAACCTGGGTCCTCAGCAAGAGCAGTGCTTTTAACTACTGAGCCATCTCTCCGGACCCTAATTCTTATATTTCTAACTTATTGTGTCCCCTTCTCTGGTAGCCCAGACCAAGTCAGATGACCCTGGGCATGTCCACAGCACAGATGCCTCTTTCATAACCTGATATGCCTTTGTATCTTCCTCCTTATGCTGTGAGCCTGGTGCACACATGAACACCACCCTTTGCCACCCTTTGCTGCCCTGATTATCCTTGACCTGCATGATGCTACATGCTCAGTGACCACTGAATGAACTCAGTGGGAGAGAATGAGTGAGTGGATGACATTATCACATGTGAATATATTTGCATCAGCCTTACCAACTTATTTCCATTGATTTTATCAAGGTATTATTTAAATGTAGTAAAAGTGCCCATTTCTGACAGTTAACTGAGTCTTGACAAGCACATATAGTCACATAACAATAAGCAGAGTCAAGATGAAGAATACTTCCATTGCTCCAGAATTCCCTGTGCCCCTCCCTGTCGGACTTGCCGTGACTCCAGCCCCCAGCATCACTATTCTGCTTTTTCTGTCCCTGCTCTTTTGCCTAGTCTAGACTTTCAGATGGAGTTGTGCAGTTCATTTTCATGGCTGCCTTACTAACTTGGCATGGTGCTTTTCAGGTTTATCGCTACTATTTCACATGTCAGCAGTTCAATATATGTTTTTAAACCCTTCTTAGAAGCCAGGCATGGTGTCACACACCTTTAATCCCAGCAGTGGGAAGGCAGAGGTAGGCGATCTCCATGAGATTGAGGCCAGCCTGGTCTACATAGCAAGTTCCAGGCCAGCTGGGGCTACAGGGAACCCTGTCTCTAAAAACAAAACAAAAAAACACATAAACAAAAAACTTCTTACCTGTTTTTTAGAAATAGTCCAGAAAGAAATAGCTGGTAAAGTAGATGATGTACCCCAGGTGGTATTGCGCAAGTTGAAAACAGCAGATAGGAGGAGCCACCCCTCTGTGCTGTCTGGCTTTTAGAAATTTGTGAAAATGTGGGGCCAGTGAGACGGCAGCGGGGAAATGTGTGTGCTTGCTGATAACTTGAGTTTGATCCTTGAGCCCAACATGATTGAAGGAGAGAACCAACTCCTGCAAGTTATCCTCTGACCTTCACACGCTTGCCATGGTATATGTGTCTGTGCACACATCGTATGTACACACACACACATACACACACACACAAGTGTAATTTTTTAAAAAGAAATTTGTGAACGTGTTAATGTCTCTTATCAAAACTGCTTGAATTGGAAAATAATTCTTTTCATAACATGCTGTTTATAGTAACATGTAATAGGTTTAGTATCTAGTATTACTAGATAAATTAATGTACTTTGTGTGTGTGTGGTGCTGGAACCGGGTCTTGTGTATGCTAGGCAAGTCCTTTACCCCAGAGCTACATCTATGCCTCTGTTTTCATTCTTTAGTTTTAACTCGTTGGATGATGGTAATACATATAAACAGATGCACTTTAGGATCCTTACTTTTTTTTTTTTTTTTTTTTTTTTTTTTTTTTTTTTTTAAATGAGACAGGGTCTCCCTGTAGCTCCAGCTTCCTGGAACTCACTCTGTAGACCAGGCTGGCCTTGAACTTACAGAGGATCCGCCTGTCTCTGCCTCCCGAGTGCTGGGATTGAAGGCGTGCGCCACCACACCCGGCAGGATCCTTACATTTTTAGTGTAGAGGTAGCTCAAGACCAAGAGTTTGAAAAGATTAGCGACACTTTTTAAAGTGGATTGGGAAGAGGCTCAAGGGCCTCTTGGTACTACTTAGGGATCAGAGTCTTGAGAACGGAGGCAGTGGCCCTATCTGAAAGGGATTCTGTGGGATGGCTCCAAGGGCTCTGCAATCTCTCAGGACCTGGTTGGGCAGGTTCTGCTGATGTGCTGGGTGTAGGTACTTCCTGCTTCCCACGAAGAAGAGCTAATGAGTAGCTGCCACTGAGCTGGCTCAAAGCAGCCTGGTAGCAGTGTGACTTCAAGCCCCAAAGAAGCCACTCTTTGCTGAGATGAGGTGGAAGCTGGGGTCTTATTACAGGTGGGATGCTTTCTGAGTACCTTTTGGCTCTCCTTGATTCTTATCATAGGAACATAACAGATCAACAGGACCATTTCTGTGGCTTTAAAGAAATAAGACAAGATAAACAAAACTTCCTCTAGTACAGTTGAAAACTGAAAAGACTGTCTCAAATTATTTTAATGAAAGCAGGCGGGAGGCCACTTTTATTAATGGCAGTATCCCTATGGAGAAAGATACCTGTGGCCCTTGTTTAGAGGGAGTACCAGTGTTGTTAATAAGCCAGCAAAATTGCACCTACTGACTTGACTCTTAATTGCTTCTGTCTCATAGACGAAAGAGCCTGTGGTTCCGACTGAGGAAGATACTTCTCTGTGTTCTGGGGTTCTACATTGCCATTCCATTTCTTGTCAAACTGTGTCCTGGGATACAGGCCAAACTGATTTTCTTGAATTTTGGTAAGTGCTGCATACCATTTTTCTTTAATTTTATTTAGCACTTATTTTCATAATTGATTTTAGTAGGTGTCAGTTTATTTTTACTGAGATTGAACGTGTCCAGTATGTAGGGAGATAGAACCACCATCCAGGCTTAGGAATAGCACATCTGTCATCCGGGAAGTTCTCGGTACCCTTGTCAGTTGAGGGACACTGTGATGATGGCATTGCCCTCCAGCCCTGCATTTCGGTTCCTAGGTGACTGAACTGCATTGGGGGTGATTGTCTCTTGAGCTGAGGTAGACAGAAATGGCAGCAGGAGACATTACCTGCAGCTGTCATGTTAGAGATGTGTTGTCGCTTGTGTGGACCAGGCTAATTAAAACCACTGAAAAGGACAGTGTCTTTTTTAAAAAATATTTTTTAAAGGCCTCAGTTTTTGTTTTATTGCTGTTGTTTCTTTTTAAAAAAGTGTTTTATGGGGGTGGAGAGATGGCTCAGTGGTTTAAGAACACTGGTTTTTCTTGCAGAAGACCTGGGTTTGAATCCCAGCACCCACATGGCGGCTAACAACTGTCTGTAACTCCAGTTCCAGGGGATCTGACAGCCTCTTCTGTCCTCCTGGGGCATTGCACGACATGGGTGCACTTATCTACATGCAGGCAATACACGCATACACATAAAATAAAAATGATAGTAGCTGGGCGTGGTGGTACATCCCAGCACTTGGGAGGCAGAGGCAGGCAGATCTTTGTGAGTCCAAGGCCAGCCTGGTCTACATAGTGAGTTCCAGGACAGCTGGGGCTGCAGGGAGACCCTGTCTCTAAAAGGCCAAAAAAAAAAAAAAAACCAAACCAAACAAAAAACTGTCTTATTTTGATTTTTGTGGGATTTTTGTGCTGCCTGATAGGTGAACACAAAATAAATTGTTTGAGGTCCTTAAGGTAACTTTGTGTTGTTCCAAAGCTGTTCTTATTTATTATTTATTTATTTATTATTTATTTATGTGTGCTTGCTGAATTTGTGTGCATCACATGTGTACAGGAGCCTACGGAGGCCAGAAGAGGGCATTGGATCTCCTGGAACTGGAGTCTCAGATGGTTGTGAGCTTCTTTGTGGGTGCTGGGAACCTAACCCTGGTCCTCTGCAAGAGCAGCAAGAGTTCTTAACCACTGAGCCATCTCTCTAGGCCCTGTTCTGGTGTTTTGTTTTGTTTTGTTTTCTTCTACATTTACTTTTGGGGAAGTGGGAGGAAAAATAAGAAAGTATCAGGCTACAAAGCAGAAGGCAAAGAACCCGCAGGTGTTACTACTGGGAACAGTCCTTTCAAGAACATTTTACACCCAAGATGCAGCAAAGAAGGTAGGAGATGTAAACTACGGCTGTACAAATGGCCATGGTCAATGTTGGGCTGGGATGAGGCAGACTCTGTGCCTGGTCTTTGTCAAGGTTGGCTTACAGAATTAATCTGGTTCTTATATGTTTGGGGGCATGAGATTTGGAAGCTGGCTTGCTTGGATGGGTGTGCAGATGTGTAGTTGGCTAGTCTGTGTGACAGTGTGGTTGGGGCATAGCAAAGCCAGGGATTGGGGAATATGTCTCAGGCTTCAAACCCCGCTTAGTAGTAACAGGGCTCCAGACTCTGTATGGTCTAGGTTTACAAAGCTGGGATGTTTGGTCTATAACAGACTTAATCACAAAATGTTAAAAGATACTAACAAGGAATTTCTTTTTAAATTAGTAAGAGGCATAGAAATAGCAAAGTCAAGATTTAATGCCTTAGCATCTAAGCCACACATTTTTTAGTGTGTTTAAATAACTATAAAATATATGTGGTGTTTACTTTTTCAAGTGGAATGTAGTCAGACTCCTAGGAACTTATGGTCTCTAAGTTTTGTCACATAAGGGGACCATAAACTTAAAAAGAAACTAATGTTATACTAAAATCAAGACAGTGTTTTGTTTTGTTTTGTTTTGTTTTGTTTTGTTTTGTTTTGTTTTGTTTTGTTTTTCCTGACTTTAGTGTCTCCTAAAGGTACCCAGTACAGTACAGAAAAGAGTTTGGGTCCATGAAGACCCAAGGTCTGTAAATTTATTCATGATAGACCTTAGAATTGACCATGCAGCTTAGACCGTGTAGGCTGTACTATCCTCTTGGAACACAGTCAGGTTCTGGCAAAGATCTGAACTGGTTTTCTTCCAGTAGATTATTTGGGCTACTTTCAGCACAGCCTACAGTTTTGTGATGCTGATTCTCACAGACATAGAACTTCAGATGTCAGAGAGGAAACTGTCTGTTGATAGCACCCTAGGTTGATACCTGTCCTTGGTGCTTCCCTTCCTATGTCTGCTCCACAGGAGCAGAGGGCCTAGGGCAGATTTGGTTTCGTTGGGGTTGTGTTGATTTTGCAGTAGTGGGATTTAAACACAGGGCTTGATATGCTATATAAGCCTTATACCGCTGAGCTTGATCCCTGGCCTGGTAGTGTTTCTAAAGGGGATTTTTAATTGTTAATGGGATAAAATCTGTCTCTGGCCTTTTTAAAAAATGTACTCATGGGGAAGAAGAGATGGTTCAGTGAGTATAGTGCTTGCTGCACAAACATGAGGACCTGAGTGTGGATTCCCAGCACCCACATACAAAGTTGGACATGGTAGCACATGATGCAACCCCAGCACAGGGTCACAGAGACAGGCAGATCCCGGGGGCTCACTGGCTAGCCAGCCTAGCTGAAGTGTGTCAGGTCCAGGTTCACTGAGAGACTGCACGACATAGGTGCACTCACATACATGCAGGCAATACACTCATACACATAAAATAAAAATAATAAATAAAATATTTTTTAAAATGTGGAAAAGCAAATAAAGAAGATATCCTGACATCAGTCTCTGGCCTCCACTTAGGCAAGCGTACCAGCACATCACCTGTATGCAACCATATAACACCAACACACACACATACACACACACACACACACACACACACACACAACAGAATAAAAAATGTATTCAAGGGCTGGGTGTCGTGGCTTATACTTTTAATCCTAGCACTTGGGAGGCAAAGGCAGGTGGATCTCTGTGAGACTGAGGCCTGGTCTACATAGGGAATTCCAGATCAGCTGGGGCTACAGGAAGACCCTGTCTCAAAACAAAACAAAACAAACTAATCAAAATAAAACAAAATTAAAAAACCAAGTTACTCAAGGGCCTGCAAGGTGACTCATCAGGTAAAGTATTTGCTATGCAGCAACCTGAGTTTAATGTCTGAAACCCATATAAAGGTTGTAAGAAAGTACTGACTCCATAAAGTTGTCCTCTGGCCTTCACATATGCACCTGGCACATAACACACCCAAATAACAAATAATTTTTTTATGTTGCTAAAAACCCTGGCACTGATGGGCATCACTCTAGAGTAGTGGCTGGACATTCCCACAGCCCTTCCCACCACAGCACTGGCCTGGCCCTTTTGCCATGCTCCCACTGTGAGGCCTACTCCCCTGGGAGGGAGGGCAACCTGACCAGGACTTGCTGGTTTTTTAGTTATAGCATAGTCACTGATACCTGTCCATGCCTGTCTCCCCTATGTGGGACTCGAGGAGGTGGGGTCTTTATGCTGGAGTTTTACCTCAGGCTGGGGAGGGTCTGTGTATGTGAGGGCTCTGTTCTTATCTCCCCCAGATGACAATCAGGACCTGTTGCTATTCTTCTTCTTCTCCTTCTCCTCCTTCTCCTCCTCCTCCTCCTCCTCCTCCTTCGCCTTATTCTTATTCTTGTTCTTGTTCTTATTCTTCTTTCTTCTTTCTTCTTCCTCCTTCTTCGTCTTTTTGAAGCGGGGTCTCCCTGTAGTCCCAGCTGTCCTGGAACTCACTAACTTAAAAAAAAAAAAAACAACTTGATTGAGAATTTCATATATACATATAAGGTATTTTGCTCAAATCCACACCTACTCTTTCCCCTTGAACACCTCCCATATTTCCCCATCACTTCTTTCTGACAACTTTGTGTTCTTTCTTTCCTTCCTTCTTTCTTTTTCTTTCTTTCTCTTTCTTTCTTTCTTTCTTTCTTTCTTCTTTCTTTCTTTCCTTTGTCTCTCTCTTTCTGTCTCTTTCTTTTCTTGGGGCTTTTTGCTACTCTGACATTACCCCTCTGAAGAGGTAATCCTAAAATATTTTATGGATTACATAAGAGCTCCCAAATAGTTTTGTCATTTTTGGCCTTTGGAACAGTATGTTGCTAAGAGGCCCAAGGACATTTTGACTTTTAGCCAAGAAACTGGCTACATTTCTTTGGGGTCTTTTTTACCCTAACTGCCTAGCCGATTCCTACCTCCTATTCTTATCATGCCATCCTCTGAAGAGGTTACCTAAATTGCTGATAGGGAATCCGGACGCAGACCACTGTGGCTTCTTCCTTGCTGAACAGGGATGCAGGGTGAGTACCCCTTTAGTGGGTCTATGGAAAAGACTCCAAAATTGCATAACTCTTATCTGTAGGGAGAAAAGAAAGTCCTTAACTGGTGAAGAGGAGATGTGACGGAGAAGTAAAGTTGAAAGTGGTTAGCATTACAAGTTCTAGACAGAGAACCCCAAAAAAAGTCAGAATAGGGCAAATTTCAAATGTTCATATCAGAGTCCATTGGGATTTCTTGACAAGAGCTTCTAAAAGCATCCCTCTGTTGGGTTCCTTCTCATTTTTTTTTCTGTCTGCCAAGGCTGGACTCGAGAGTGATGGATTCAGGATTTGTTTTCAGGTATTTTGATAGCTGTTGGAGTGGTTAGAATCAGTGTTAGTTCCCTCTCAAATGCTTCTAGATAGGGGGAGAAAACAAATTTATCCATCATTTTAGAACAATAGCTGGTTGTCTCCCTTAGCTACAGGTGGGCACTACAGTATTGGAGACCAAGATTTGAAGTCTTACATCTGAGCAGCACTTTCTGATTAGGAACAAAATCATCAATGAGA